AAAACAAATACTGGAATAAATCATAAAAGAAAAGAAAATATTAAATAATTTTAATTGACGTGGCCGTCCACCTCAGCTGCCACATAAGATGATATAGGGATGTGGTATACAAATGTGGTAAGAGTAGCATTATTCATATATTAGATCTGGGCAAAAACAGAAGAAGAAACAAATCTTGTCCTATCAATGTTGCCAAACAAAAGAAGATATATGCAATTGGGATTCAATGAAATGTATATAATTTATTAGATTTGCACACTGACAAAATTCATTTGGTTAGAAAGGTCATGAAAACATTTTAAAGAACTTCAAGCTATACGATACATCATTTTCAAATTTAGAACAATGGCGGAACCACATAAGTGCAAGGGAGGTGAAACCTTGTCGAAAATCCTTTGGAGAGGCCGGAATCTGCTCCTCTGTTGATGCCCACCATGTGTTTGACTAAATGTTTTGAAGAGGCTTTGTTGTTTTGTTTGCTACGCACACCTATATATAAATGTTATGGACAAAATGACATCGTTTTGAATTAGGCAAAAAAAGAAAAAAGAAAAAAGGGTGTGACAATAGTATTGTTTAAATTCTAAAGGGTATTTGGTTGTCTAATTTTTTATTATTATTATTATTTTTTATAGCTTTTAGCCTTTTAAATATTACAATTTCCCTAAAAAATTTATGACTCCACCACTAATTTAGACTAACAGATTTGAAAGAGGTAGACATAACAATGACAAACGGAGAGAAGGAAAACATAAAGAAATGAAGGGGGAACTTAAAAATTTGAGTAAATATTTGTAGGGAGATTCTTCAATAAATATTTTATGTTAGGAATTTGTTACATACTTCTAATCTTGGTTGTTGGATTGCATTCATTAAATGTGTTGGTAGTCTCTTAGATGCAAATTCAACAATCGAGATTAGAAGTATGTAACCAATCCTTAACTTAAATACTTATTGGAAAATGCCCCAATGTTTATAAATTCATTAAGACATTGTTTGACTAAAAAAGAAGTTGAGCGGGGGCATATGCCTCTAGTCCATAGATCCCTTTGCCCATGGTGGCAGCCACGGCGAGAGTTGTGTTTGCCACCACTCATTCCCGAAAAGAAAGTTTAGTTTTCATGTTTAACGAAGTAGCCAATATGGCTTTTTAAGGATAATTTTGACGTATTTCGAAATACAATTGGATGTAGTGAGTACAATATGTTTTTTATTTTATTTATATATATATAAATAATAATAATAATAATAAGAGGGAGCTAAGCTCTTAATCTAGTAGTCTTATCCCATTTTGCCATCCTTACATTTCAACTAACCCTAAGTACATATCAAATGCACATAGAATAATTGGGTGCACATATCAAATGTATCGGTACATGTAGAATTTAACTGTAGTTTTTAGGGCTAGATTAATTTGTAATTTGATTTGTTTGGACTTGTGGCCCATTTTGGTATTGGATGTAAGGGTGACGTACTTCACTCTATAAGGCCTAAGAATCAGAATGGAGGGTAGCAGTGAGTGGTGTGAAGACAAGGGGTAAGAGTCAAAACACCAATCAATGGGCCAATTTGATGGATTAAAGTGGCAAACACAAGATTTCTTTTTTCATGCAACTTTTAATATTATAGAGGTGATCCATCTTCATTCAGTTTGGACCTTATTTTACAAAGACTTGTTGTATTATTCAAAGATTTTATTATCGCTGCAAGTATATACCTTTATCTCAATCAAGATTCTAGACTTTGAAAAATTCAAAAATTCCTCGAGACCTGAAAGCTAGCAATAGGTAGCTAGATGGAAATATGATTCCTCAAATTTCAGAATTTTGTGTGGCAATAATATTCGGCAGGAACCAAAATGAAGCATATACAACCCGAGTTGTTGGCACATAATAAGCATGACTTGTTAACACTAATATAACCTATTTATATCATTTCAAGGTTTATTAATCTAATTTTCACAATATCCATGATGCAACAGTTATATGTGACCTAAATATGTAATGGAATGTCTATTTTTTATAAACACTGTCTCCAAATTTGGGGTATTGCTACTAGAGATTGTGAGTGGTCGGAGGAATACTAGCTTACGCTCATCAGAACACTTGAGCCTTATTGGATTTGCATGATATCTTTGGAATGAGAATAGAGAAGTGGACCTCAATGATCCTTCCATTGCAGAAACATGTTCCAAAATCTAGACCAACTATGCCGTCTGTGGTGTTAATGCAATGCACACATGTAGCGGAATTATTACAATGCATACAAGTAGGGTATTATGTGTGCAAGACTCTGCAATTTCTTGACCAACCATGTCATCCGTGGGGTTAATGATGAAGAGTGAAAATGTAAATTTTGAAGCCCAAATTTTGTGGTACATACAATTTCGTTATACACATGTGCAAGACTCTGCAATTTCTTGACCAACCATGTCATCCGTGGTGTTAATGATGGAGTGAAAATGCAAATTTTGAAGCCCAAAATTTGTGGTACATACAATTTCGTTATACACATGTTATGAATTAAGTATATTTTTTCAAAGTTGTCTAAAAATTTGTAACAAAAAGTTACAAAAGACTTGGAAATAAAAGGAAAAAAAGACTCAACAAGCCTGGCCATGCCCTTTGAAACCTTGGTCAGCCCAGAAAAATGAAAAAATCCAAACAAGCCCTGACTAATCCTGACCCAAAACATGTTCCCAAAATCTAGATCAACCTTGTTTTCTGTGGTGTTAATGCGATGCATACAAGTAGTTGAATTGTCGTGATGCATACAAGTGAGGTATTGTGTGTATAAGACTCTGCAATTTCTACACCAACCATGTCGTTCGTGGTGTTATAGGAAATCTGCATGAGTGATTATTCCTTAATATCTGGAGGACACATTGTCGAGAAGATTCTTTGTTCCATGGCAAAAAAGGTAGTAGTTAATCTGACAAGAAAAGCCCCCATCAAGAGTCAGTTTTGACTTTCTAGCAACCAACTCTCTTGTTTCTTTGTTTGTCTCTAGTAAAAACCAAGTATGTACTGACGAGGCCTTCACAAGTAAGGGGAGGAAACTTGGCCCTCTTTTCTGGCATTTAATGGTTATGGGGAGTGGTTTTCTGATTTCACCTTTCTACCAACTCCCCAACACGTCCTCTGCTCTTTCTTCTGTTGAAGTCTTGTCATTGGGATCATGTGGGTATTTGTGGAGAGGAACAATTCTCCCCTCTATTTGTTGATATGATCTTTTAGTAATCAACGGTGATGATCAAACCTTGAGCCTTCCGAAAAAAATCTAGAAGCTGGGTTTTTAATGAAACCAATTGAATCTAACTTTTTTAGATTAAATCACCACTAATGGTAATTAACTTTTATCCTGTGAAGATTTTTTTTTGCAATTGGTTCGAAATGGTATGGGCTTCCAAAAACAACATGGGCTGATTTCCAATTTTGGTAAAACAAAGCCCACACCCCTGTTGTTGATGTGGCCCAGTACCCAAATGGGCTGGAGCACGGAATTTAGGCCCAAATAGTTTTACATGAGCTTTGTTCATGTTCTACTGATAAAAAATCCCAGTAAATTTCTTCTTATACTCAATCATGGATCAGGAACTATAACTTTTAAGCATATGTTTCACATAAAATTATTGAAGTGATTCTTAGCCAATTCTTGCAACTTGTTTTTGATAGTGTTGACGCAGAAAAATGGTTCGGCACTTTCCCGCTCAACTTAGTGATGTTGGGCCTTTGGTATGCTATGGGCCTCGGTAAGGCGTTCGATTTGCAAGATAACAAACGCTCGTTAAGACCTAGGGCACCGGTGTGGTACCGGCCGAAGGCTCTGCGATGCTTGAGTAAGTACGGATTTAGTAAGTTTGAACTACAGATCAATAGGCAGTATGCCGTAAGTTCTGATTGATTACCTTCAAGCTGGGATAGTTGTCCTCTTTTATAGGCTTTGGGAGGTGTGTAATTTGTTTAGAGTTTTTATGTGGGACTGTGGACTCCAATTGTGGGACTGCCACGTGTCCCTGGGGGTGAAGTTGCCCTAATCGGGCGATCGGTAGGAACGGTACTGAAGCTAGGTGCCGAAGGCTTCCATAACTTTAATTTGGTCCACATGTCCGATGCTTATTGGTTGTTCATTTTGGTATAAACAGATAGGTATAGCCCCAATATTAGAATTGCGTTAATATGAATATCCTTGAAACTTTCAGATTGTCTAAAAAGTATATCTAACGACACCTAAGTATTTTTTTTTTTTTTTTTTTTTTTTTATTATTTCATTCCTCTGTTCCAGAAAGGATGCTATGTGACCTGTCAGTACTGGACTTCAGTTATCTAACAACAAAATACTTGTTTTATTTGTTGTATTCTTAAATTCATGTGGCATTTTGTGATCCATGTAACTTCTACAAGAGCTGTTTCATTAATGTATATGAAGTTCTTTAAGTCTTCCAAAATATCTTCATAACCATTGTTTTATTTTTACGGCAGACAAGAGCAACTTAACATGTGCGGTCTTGACGGATCTCTATATGCAACCTATGACAAAGTGAGCTCTTTACATGGATGTGATTCGTGTGTGTGTTTTTATATTTTGTAAAATTTTAATTGGTTCTTGGCCACATGCGGTCACAGAGTAATATCATAGATGCTGGGTTCATTGCTTGTGCTAATTAGGCTGAAGCAATGTATTGAGATTTTAATCTGGCGTTGCTAGGATTTTTCATCGATTGATAACATGTTTCCTTGGTCACACCTAACTTTTACCTTCTGGGTAGAAGGAAAAACAGTATTTTTCATGTGTGTGTGTATATTTGTAGGTACCTTTGCAAGCTCAGATCATCCCGGGTTGAATTTTAAATTTACTCGCTTTAACAGCCAAAACTTACCATGTCTCTCATGATGAGGCCCAACTTTCCCTCCACTAGGCCCATATTCTATTTAGCATTTCTAAAGTGTTGGTACTTATAAATCATAGAAGGAAATAACTCCCTTCCAATATAGGACTAAATGCAAGTGTATTTTTCTTATACAAACTCTAACACTGGTGGCCATAATCCTGAGAGGTTAAGCTTATTGAAAGGTGGAATTGTCTACAGCAATGCAATAGTGTAAGTGATGTTACTGATTTTTTGGTTGTATGATCTCTATTTTTTTCTTTCTTGATAAACTCATATTTGCAGTTGATATAGCCAGCCATGACTAAGTAATGCACATTTTATTTGTATATTTATTTAATGCCTTGAGTTGTCTAACTACGTTTGCCAAATGATATAGAAAAAGGTTGCTTATCATAAAAACTAAACTAGGGTTTACATTTTGGCCAAGTGTTAAAATATTTGCTGTTGGTGGAAAGAACCACGAGACCACGAGACCACTAGAGAGAAAACCACGAGACTACACTTCCAAAGCAACTATGATTCTAAGATCCATTCAGCTAAGACTACTAAACCTGATGCAAAAAGGTCTCTTCATGAGACACCCAACAGATGACAACAATACTATCCAATTATGAATATAAATTCTGATTCAATAAGGACTCATAGTGACGACACCAAACAACCAATATTCGTAAGAAAAAATTATCTCCTAAAACAAGTTAACTAGGAGATAAGCATGGTGCACATCACGATAGTAAACGCTAATGTTTTAACTTAAATCACAATGGCATCAAAAATAGCTTTAATTATAAATCCTATTTTGAATGCATGATTATGTCATGATTTACCTGTTGTCAAGTTTCTTATATGGTCAGGTTATGCCTTGGAAGTATGGGGTTGAAAGAGTTGTGCCAAAACGTCCAATAACAATTCCTCACAAACTAATTTTCAACCTATACTAGAGTTTAGGAAATGCCAATACAATTTTAGTACTAACAATCTCCCCCTTTGGCATTTCTTGGACAAAACACTAGATTACATATCAAACACGTTTACAAGAAAAACCTACACAACCTACTTTACTTTGTCAAATAGATATTCAGTTCTTGTAACGTCTGCACACCAACAAACAGATTACCAATGAAGCATAATAGAATTGTAATAATAATAACAAGAACTTGGCACAGTTAAACAACAATATTTCATATGTCAGGACGTTAAGCAAAGTACTACAAGTTTTGATCCCATAAACAAAAAAAGTTATCTCCCCCTAAATTTCATGTTTCTACTTTCGACAGTTACTCCCTCTAAATCTCATATGTAACACAAAATATTCTCCCCCTTTTTGTTTAGGAAATCCAAAGGAACACAAAGATAACTTCTTCCAAAGGAACACAAAGATAACTTCAAAAGAGAACAAATCTAGAAAGCAGAATAGATGAACCTTAGATAATACGAGCCCGAGGAGGACGAGGAGGGTTAGTGGGCTGAATGTGCCCAGCAAGTGATAGCAATAGCTCACTATAGGTGTCAAGACGATCCCAAATGCGACGAAGAAGCTCATGCGTCACTTGATGTGATGCAGAGAGAGAATCCAAAAGAGCCTGTTTCTCGATGAAGAAACCACTAGAAGTATAGTGAGCATCGATGCGGTGTAAAGTGACTTGGTTGTTGACTTTGATGGTGTCGGATGAGCCAATATCATCTGTAGACAGTGCAGGGACACCAGCATAAGCAGCCAAGGTTGTGATAATCTGAGTAAGAACAAGACTGGAGGTCAGAACAGTGGCATTGGCAGCACCAGCGATAATGAGGCTTTCACAAACATAGAAGTCAACACTGACAGTTAGCTGATGGAGTGCATATGGGATAGGGTTCACTTTTGAGTTTCTTTGTGTCAGATATTCACTTGGGCATCTGTAGCTTCGGAGTTTAAAGAGCTGTCTTTCTCTGTTCTATCATTTTGGAAACCAGCTGTGTTTGATAACTCTGGTATTGTGTTACTTGGTCTCTCTTAGGATAGAGTTGATGTTGCAGGTTTCGTGTTAAGCTTTTTTAGAAGTGGACTAGTTAACTATCTTTGTACTTAGTTTCTACTTAATGGAAAGTTTTGTTTCTTATTACAAAAACAAAAATCATCCATTTGAGACTGCATCTCTACCTTTGAGAGGGTACCAGTACCAGTATCAAAGTCTGGTTGTGCCCAGGCTTCCCACATCAGTCACATTCAGAGTTAATCTGTATTATCAAATTGAGCTTCCCCTCACGCATCTCTGAAAAGTGGTGCAACAGTTAGGCTATACTTGTCCTGTGGGATTGAGTAAAGCATCAAGGTCTTTCAACTCCTTTCTCACTTACAGATACATATACCTGCCTTAAAGTAGCAAAAGGGCCTCTACCAAGAACTTGATTAAATTCCATATTAAGTCCACACAAAGTTTCTTTAATTTCCTTCAGTGTCGTCATATATTTTCCATTCATATTTTCCGAAAGGACCACAGTTTCTTTAATTTCCTTCAGTATCATCATACATTTTCCATTGTGCCTGCGCAGGCATGAGCACACACCCACCCACATTGGCACAGACAAGCTCCCCTTGTATCTATTATGTCACCAAGTGATTCTTCTTTCACTTTCAGTACAGTTTCTCCAACATATCTCAAGGAAACACTCTGCTCTGGATGGCTTTCAAGTACTTTGATAAGACACCGTGATAAGTAAGTTCCTTAACTGTGATAATCAACACAAATGGTTTTGCATTTTTTATTAAAATCGGGGTTTCCTATAGATTGCTCTGTGGTTGAATCTGACATTCTTTCTTTGTAAGGAATTGAATCAGACATTGTTGAACTACTGTTGCAGTACAAGATCCGACAATCATATAGTTGCATTGATCTCTTTTCATGCCTTTTTGCTCCTTGAAAAACTGCAATAACATTATGCTTTTTGCATATCACTAGTCTATAAATTCAGTTTTATTTTTATTTCTCCTCTCTGATTAAGAATATTAAACCTCTTATTGTCTTTGCATATGTTAATATTTAAATTTTATGTAATTCTGTAGGTACTTAGGTTAGGTATAGTAAATGGAATAGACACTGCAATGTGGAACCCTTCTACTGATGTTTTCTTGCCTTCAAAGTTCCATGGTAAGAACTTATGAGTAAGTTTGTATTAAATTTGCTATTTGATCATATATATTTTTGAAGCTTTTCCTTTTCAAATATATATATATATATATATATATATATATATATATACAGGGAGCTTCCATTGAGGGATCCCTCAAATAAGTTTATTTGAGGGACACCCTTTGTAGGCCCCACTCGGGATTGTATTTCACTAATCCAAACCGTCTATTTTGTAGATACTCATTCAAAGATCATCTCTACAAAAAATCACTTGAATCCGATATCATTTGACCACTAAATTGAGTTATTGAAATTTTAGTACTTTCTTGAAGCACCGTGTTCATTGATTTTGTAAGACACAATTGGATATCGAAACGGTTTCAGATTTGTCTAATTTTTTGTAAGGATGATCTATGAATGAAGACCTAAAAAATAGATGGTTTGGATCATTGGGAAAAAAATTGTAGGATACCCTAAAGGGCGTCCCTCAAATAAAATTATTTGCTATTTGATCATATATATTTGAGAGAGAGAGAGAGAGAGAGAGAGAGAGAGAGAGAGAGAGATCAGTGGGATCCTATTGCCCTGACATCAAACACTATTCCTATCTACAATTTTCAGTTGAGTTAATGATCATGACATCCACCAGCAGCATATATCTCTGTGCGTGCAAGAACTTCTATGCTAGTGGCTGTAACTATTGGCTGGCATTTTAATTACAGAATCCATTAAAAAATGCATAAATTACTAGGATTTATTTTCAGTTCCAGAAAAGATTAACAAACAAAGACTCCTTAGCTTGGGAGTGGCATGGGTAGTACATCTGTGGAGGCGTGTTGGATGGTATAAGTACAAGTTTCCGGTTTAAATTTGTTGTTTTTGAGAGTTTACACTTCTTTGGAGTGTCTGTTAGTCTTATCCTTAATGTATGTCGGGTTGACCAGGATACACTAGGGTGAAGGGTCAATGCAATGCCGGAAACTCTGTTACTAAGAATTTAACCCAATGCACAGTAATTTTTATTCTCATTATCCTTTGTTCTGTCTCTTGCAGCTCAAAACTCTGAGGGCAAAAAGTTATGCAAATACTATGTCCAAAGAGGACTTGGTTTGGCCTCGGGAAACCATGTGCCAGATACTGCACTCAAGGTGCCCTTGGTTTTGTGCATCACTCGCTTAGTTGCACAAAAGGGTCTTCATTTGATTATTCATGCAATTAAGCAAGTTGAAGAACTTGTAAATTTGTTAGTGCATTACATTCTTTTGTGCTCCTAAGTTGTGCCTTGGGTGTGTGGATAGATGGGTGGGCGTGGATGTGTTGGTGCATGCACACTTGCATATGCATGTGTGTATACTTAAGTTTTCCTGTATGTGTTGTCAGACAGTTTGACAGTTATATGAGACCGGGCCCTTAAGAAAACTAGCAGTGTTATGTAAGCTGGCACAAGATTGGTTTTAGAAACAAGATGTCCAACAGACCCAACAGAAAGACATTGTTTGGAGAGAGTATTTAATTTGAAGGTCTTGCAAATTCGGTAATGGATTTGACGTTTATGTCTCTCAAGTTATACTAGGATTCAAGACACAATAATGTCTGAATTACTCTGTTTTTTCTTTCTTGTTTTTTGTTTTCTCATATTTCCCTTGTTGGTTCTCTCTTTGTTTAACCATGATTTGGCTTGTAAGTCTTTGGTAGATGGCAATGACCCACAAAGTTCCCAAAGTCCAAAATTCATTTATGCAAAAGCCAAAAAAGAAGAAGGTAAAATTGGAAAAGAAAAAAAAAAGTAAACATGTTGATTGAGCTTGATGCACAGTTTACCATATGCATGAGTTGAAATGGGACAAGCAGGTCTTGTGGGTGGGGATTTGAAGTGCTCCACCAAAACCCCACACCATTATTTGAGGTTGATACGACCGAAAGCCAATACATATGAAATATGATATGTGATATGTGTGGGAAAGATGAGATAAAAACCACAATGAGACAAGGGAGCATGAGAATCTTGACTATGGGGTATTGCCAATTACTATGTGTTATCTCCTAAATCCAATTCCGATTTGCTCATCTTCATCCTGTCTACACATGCGGCCATCCATTGTAGGGTTTTAATTTCTACTTTTAATTTTTTATATTTTATATTTAAAGAATTCTGTGAGAGATATATATGTGCAACAGTGCAAGTGATGTGTTTTAAAACGTTTTCCTGCCACTCAATTTTTAAGGTGTCTGTCAAACTCAATTGGAAAGGGCCTCTCTCTCCTTCGATAATGAAAGTTATTATTCTTCGGGGTGAAAGTCTTTGTTACTAGGTACAAATCCCTAATTTCATTAATAATTTGAGGGTATATTTGGTACAATGTATTAGACTTTGGATAGAAGTAAATAATCTAGTCAATTGTTTGATGTCAACTTGTATTATTTAATTACCTGATTATATTAAACGGGTTTGGCTTTTAATACTCTTCTTACCTGACTAACTAATACAACCCACACACCTTGATTTAGATAATACATGCTTAATGATAAGGCTAAGGAAAAAGAAAACACGTTTTCTACTTGAAAAATCATACGCTCTTTTCATCTTCTTCTCCTAGGGTTCTTGTATGCTATCTTCTTCACATGCTATTCTCTTCATTCTCTCTCATACTCTCTCCGATATGCTTCTTCTTGCTTCTTTTGTGTTCATCTTCTCTTTCTTTATATATTTTCTCTTCTGTGATGTATGATTATCTCTTCTTAGGTGTATGATTATCTCTTCTTACTAATTTTTTTTATATTTATTCAATAGATTTTGTTAAATTTTTGTGTAGTTTGGGCGAAGTGTTTTTCTTCAAATAGGGTTTTGTTTACCTTCTTTAAAGTTTTGAGAACCTCCATACTGATTCTAAAGATGTTTGAGATGCATATATATTGGGAATATGAAATCAACATCAGACTTGTACTGTATACTTTTTAATCTTAGTTTTCTAGGATCCAATCATGGTCCTGCAAGGCTATTCAAGACTTTCAAGTCAAACTTTTTCCAGCAAATTTTGATTTCTCTAATATTGCTTGGACTTCTATTGGTACCAAGTTATTGCTAAAATATGAATATGGTTTGAATACTTTGGGTTACCTTTATTATTCTTCATAAGGAGGTATATATAAGAGTTTACAGGGTGCTATACAAGGAATTAGATACAGTAAAGAATTAGGAAAGTATCTCCTAATTAAACAATAATTTATCAACTTTATAAAAATAGGAAAGTAAATCCCTTAATTAATCAAGAAAGTAAATTTCCTTGATTAATTAGGAGACTCACATCAACAGTTACAACGGAAGGTGAGCCCATACCATCAATGGGTCAAAATCAGTTTGCGTAACGGATGCAACTTTGTATACATTTGAATTATTTGCCAACAATATATTAGATCTTGGCAAAAACAAAAGAAGAAACAAATCTTGTCATATCAATGTTGCCAAAAAAATTTGTGCCATCACCAATGGGGGATGTTAGTTAGATTGGCTCAGATCTTTGGTGTGCTCCCAAGTGGTCTTGGGTTTAGGTAATTTTTGTATCTCACAATTTTTCTTGGGTCATCTAAATTTCAATTTCCACTTAAATTATCAAAGAATATATATATATATATATATATAAAAGTTTGATCATTGTTATCCGTTCGAACACCAGACACAATATAACTTAGTCAGACTATTTATTCGAAACAATACCAAATGTCTTATAATATTATGGATAAACAGTCAGTACTCTCCAGAACATATTAATACCGTTTGACAGAAATTAGTTAGTACAATCCGACGTACCAAACGAGCCCTAAGCATCATTGATACTAGCAAGATATATGCAATTGGGATTCAATGAAATGTACATAATTTATTAGATTTGCACACTAACAAAATTCATTTGGTTAGAAAGGTCATGAAAACATTTTAAAGAACTTCAAGCTATACAATACATCATTTTCAAATTTAGAACAATGGCGGAACCACATAAGCGCAAGGGAGGTGAAACCTTGTCGAAAAATCCTTTGGAGAGGCTGAAATCTGCTCATCTGCTGGTAACCACCATGTGTTTGACTAAATGTCTCAAAGAGGCTTTGCTGTTTTGTTTGCTACGCATGCCTATATATATATATATATATATATATTAATGTTTTGGACAAAATGACGTCAAAAAAAAAAGAAAAAGGAATGACATTAGTATTGTTTAAATTCTAAGGGTATTTGGTTGTCTAATTTTTTTATTTATTTATAGCTTTTAGCCTTTTAAATATTACTCTTTCCCTAAAACATTTATGACTCCGCCACTGATTTAGACTAACAGATTTGAAAGAGGTAGACATAATAGTGACAAACGGAGAGAAGGAAAATATAAAGAAATGAAGGGGAACTTAAAAATTTGAGTAAATATTTGTAGGGAGATTCTTCAGATCGTGGCTCTTGGATTGCATTCATTAAATGTGTTGGTAGTCTCTTAGATGCAATACAACAATTGAGATTAGAAGTATGTAACAAATTCTTAACTTAAATACTTATTGAAGAATGCCCCAGTGTTATTAAATTCATTAAGACATTGTTTGAC